GTCCTGCTATCTGGGGATGTGCACGCTACCCTAAGGCAAGGGCTCCCCTAGGCCTTAACCCCGCCAGCTGCTACACAGGCAAAATGTCATAAGTTGGCAGGCAAAACCCTTAGCAAGAGAAGGGCATTCTGGGAGAGTCTGGAATAGGCATTAGGTCAATAAGTCTTGGTCAAGACCCTCTAGTGTAACCTGAGATTACTTACTCACATCTGAACTGCTGCTAAGAGAAAAAAGCCTGAAGAAGGAGTGACAACTGTCTAGAAATAGTACACTTCTCTACCAAGGACAACATCTGTCCTACGGAGGAGGCAGCTCAGGAAAGACTTGGGAAAGGACCACAGACTGGGGCTCAGGGCACCTGGGTGTCTGCTGTGGCTACTGGGTTCTTTGATTCTAAAAAAGGAATTCTCTACCTTTCAGAGCATTGGAATTTTATCCCTTCCAAGGGTATCATTTCCAAACATGTTCTTTTTAATCCGCAGACTGGAAAATGCCCCGCAAATTCAGCCCAGGGATTAGCAATACTGCCAGGGAGAGCAGCTCTGTGCTTGTGAAATAAACTGTTTGCTAGCTGCCAGTTTATCACGAGGGATTCAGTTGCCAGAACATTCCTCTGCTGATGGCTGGGAAAGTGCTGTTTGGGTTGGCTTTCTCGGTGGCTTCTGGGCCTGAGGACATTCCAGCAGATGGCAGGAGAATCCATCCCACAGTTAGCCAGAAACAGAAGTGGGGGATACTTCCGGCTGGCACTCCTCACACAGGCAGCATGAGGCAAAGGTTCACCCACTTCTCAAACACAGACAGTTCACTGCCCCCAGGGAGGAGGCCTGTTCTGGCAATCAGATCCCAAAGGACACTGCCAGCCAAAAGGCTGCATCAGCTGTTGCTCACTGTAGGCTGATGGAAAAGAAATACTGGCCCTCCTTGGGAGCCTCATTTAGTGACCTTAAAGACAGTGAGGGAATTCTTAGGGCTCCCTGAGGAGAACCCTACGTATAACGTGGAGATTAAAGGGTAGTTTAGGATTTTTTTTTTTTTTTTAACCTGGGGTCTAAGAATTAGGAAGGTAAAGGTGGGCAGAAAACATTTACCTTTTCCCTATCTATTCTCTCCTGATAAAGTCCCAGTTTTGCCCCTGGATAATGAAGAAGTTGAGATACAAGATAGTATGGAACAGTTATGAGGAGCAAAGGAAAAGGCAACAAAGAAGCCCCAAGAGCTAGTAATCAGCATTCCCAGCACTGGGCATTGGGTCTGTTCACCTTGTTGTCATCGCTGTGTATCGCCTGGATCAGGCCCTCCAGCTCCTGTGCAGAAGAGAGACACAGCCGTGGTGAGAGGGAGAAGAGACCCTGCCCAGGGGTCAGGCCCAGCTAGTTTTAGTCCAGCACTGACTCTGGGGTCGGGGTGGGGCCTGCCTGACTCTCCCATTTGTACCATAAAAGCAACAGAAGAAAGCTGACAAGAACCCCAAGTCAGGAATTTGGGAAGAAGGAATATCTCCCACGAGGCCGGATGTTGGCCTTCACAAAAGGGCATGGGTCTCTTTACCCCTCAAAGAAGTCATATTGGAGACCAGTCATGAGCAACATGCTTCAAAGGCCAGCCCCTGGGCCACTGTGCTGTCCTGAGGGAACAGATGCAGATAGACTGTCTGTCCACAGACACGTCCAGGCACGTGGAATATTAGACAAGGGGACGTGGAGGGACACCTTCTGGACACAGAGGCTAGTGCTATGAATTTTCTTTGTAGGACAGGGTAGATTTGCATAGAGACATTGTTGCAAAAAGATAAAAGGATCTTGGCACAGGACAGGAAGCACAGATGTGACAAGGGAAGGTGTGAGCACACCTGGGGCGGGATTCTCTTGAAAGCATCCAGGCAGTTGAGGAGGATGGCGTCTCCGTCACTCTTGGCTGCCATGCCTGACTCGCTGACACATTTGAGTAGCTGTCGGACTTCACCGTATTTCTCCTTCTCCACCAGCTGTCGGGCAGCTCGGCAGTAAGTTGCAGCTACATCCAGCTGGAAGTCCTGGAACAGGGCGCAGTGGCGGACTTAAGACGGGAGGGAGCCAACAGTGGCAGGGAGGCCAGATTTGCATAGCCCCATGTTACTTACAGTCCCAGTAGAAAACAAACATGACAAACCAAAAACGAGCAATGTCTGTCCTCAGTGTCAGACAGACATTGAGTGAGCATCCACATAAACTGCAACCTTGGTATCTACAAGGTTCATCTCACTTTCTTCTAATTAAAATTCCCAAGGCCCATTCACTGTCTCCCTCCTGAGTCACCTAACACTGGGGTCACCCAGCGCTTGCTGCACTGGGTGCCTGGCGTTCTGTTAAAGCAGACTGATTCATCAAAAGACTCGAGTGCAGGGGCTGGGGAGATGGCTCAGTAGAATAAGTGCTTCCCTGGCAAGCACAAGGTCCTGAGTTCAATCTCCAGTTCCTCAAAAAAACAGAAACAAGAACAAAAAACAAAAGACTCGACTGCGGAAGGTGCCAGACTGACAAGCCTCTGCATCCTGGTCTAGGCTAACCCTGCTGTGTGGGGAGCTTTGTTGAACATTAAAAATGGCTGACAGGAAAGACACCTGCCTGACCACTGTCCTTGGGATGTAGGCACACTGTGCACTGTGCTCCGTCTACCAGAGTAGTGACAATCCTCAATGTGGTCCCAAGGAGGTCTGTGTGGAACCCTCTGATTGTGGGGGGTCTGGAGAAACTCTGTCCCTTGGGGTGCCCTGTTTCAGCCCTTACTTCAGTGCCACAACCCCACCTGCCCTTTTATCACAAGCAACAGAAACCTAGAACCAGCTCCTATGGAGACAGGCGTGCAGTGGTTCTGAAGGAAAATGGCTGTGGGGAGCTGGCCTAGTCCTGGTACCGAAAAGGTGCTGATTTGGTAACTTCATTGGTTCTCGGCTTTTGCAAAGGTCATACAGAGTCTTGCATTTGACCCAGATGTATGCTAGCCACTTCCCTGATTTTATCCTTAAGGCATGTGTAAATTTGCTTTTCCTGGAATAAGAGCTTTCTAAAGAATACTGTTTCATGGCAAGTGGCCAGGCGCCCACTGCCTTCGGCATGGCCTCACATCACCCGGGTCATACCTGCAGAACGCGGAATGCAATTCCAAAGCCATCCTCTACATTTTTCCCTCCTAGCATGACCTAAAAAAAGAGAGAAACTTGCTTAAGAAGGCGAGGACAGCCTCTCAAAAAAGGAGGGTCCCACTTACTGAACTATTCCCCAAGTATTTATTGAGATCTGATTAAGCACCAGGCACTGGGGATACGAATGTGATCGAAATGGACTTGATCAACCTGTGTAGTGACACATGGTCGCAATTCCTGCACTGGGGAGGCTGAGGCAAGGTTGTAAGTTCAAGGCCAGCCTGGATTACATAGCATGGCACAGCACAGCACAGCACAGCACAGAACAGCCCACCACAGCACAGGCCTTGATTTGCAGCCACCCGTGGCTCTCATTTCAGTGCATTCAGTGGGAGACCAAACAACTGAAATAATCAGATAATCACCGCTGCGATCAGTTCTCTGAAAGGCCGAGGCAGCCCGCTGGAGCTGAGCACCGTACTCACCTTGCAGGCAACTTCCATCTTCATATGGTTGTTTCCAAACAGCGTTGGCAGAGGCAAAGAGGTGACCTGAGAAGTCCCAGCACTTTCGCACCGATGTAAGAACCGGGTCACTTCCATCTGCAGTTGAACCGTATTCATGTGCCTGTGGGGACAGGATATGCATGGCCACCCTCAGGAGGGTGAGGTGCCCGGGGCCCATTGACTATGGAGCACGAGAAGAGGGCAAGGGAAGAAAAGGAATGACAGAGGGAAGGGACCCAAACACCTTCTGGGTGGCAAGACAAAAACAGGCAGCCTTATACCCCATGCAGATAAGAGTGGCTCAGCTGCTCTGTGGAACTGGACAGTGGGCCATCATAGAATCAGTAAGCGTGTACTGGGCATCCCTGTGCCAGGTACAACACCTGGGGTCTACAGTGGCATGGTTGAGCCCTGCCCTGGCAGATTTCAAAGGCTGGGGTAGAGATGGACGGTAACCAGATGCGGAATTCATCCACTGATGAAGCCACCAAAGACAGCAATGGGATGTGGCTGAGCCCTTGGACTTTGTGTTCTAAGCACAGGGAACAGTAGGCATGAAAGCAGAAGGAAGGACCAGGTGTGCCAAGGAGCCCTTAGGATGCCAGCGACTAGCATTAGGAAAGAAGAAGAGAGGGGCATGCAGTAGAGATAAAGACCAGAGCATGAAGCCAGATCACATGAGACCTAAACCAGAAGCGTGGAGTCTAATGTGGTTGTGGGAGGTGATCCCCCTGCTCCCCCAGCAAGCTCCTCTGTGGCTCTGCATGACTGTATCAAGGAAGATTCCCTTTAAATGTACTTTTCAAGGCTCAGGGAATGGGTGAGAGCGGCTTTGTGTGCACAGACTCGCCCCAGTCTGCCTGCGCTGTGCTAATTATCCCCCTGCCTCAAGCTACCTGGACACATCAGCTGCACTCATCTTCTTTCGGAAGAAGGTGGATTTCTTCCTTCCTGAGCTGTGGGATGTTTCTTGGAGGTAGATCTTCAGGTGGTCCTTGGCCTTAAGCAGCCACGAGAGCTTCTCTCCCAGCTCCGTGTATGACTTTGCTTTGTGACTGAAGAACCGAATACAGGTCATGGCGGCCCGGACTTGGTCCTAGAAGAGGAAAGTGAATGTTTGTGTCACAAGAGATCAGGGAGGTTGGGAGTTGTGGAGATGGGAATTCTGGGGTGAGCCCCACCTGTGAGAAAAAGCCACGTATTCTGGACCCCACAAAGGTCTCTATCCTCTCTTGCTCCTCTTTCTGCCTTGCTGTGCCACATCATCTACGTCTGTCACCATCAGGACTGGTATTTAGTGTCCTTCACTCCGGGCAATCCTAATGGGAAATGATGGGCTGAGCTCTTCAGGGGACGTTATTTCACTACTGAAGCTCTCTTAAAGAAAGGACATTTCTGGGGCTGAGGAGATAGCTCGGTGGTCTAAACCCCTGCCTGGGAAGCCCAAGGACCTGGGTTAAATCTCTGGTACTACATGCCATGCCATGCCAGCCCCGGAACCCTGGCATGACGTGCTGGCCCTAAAAACCTAGCGTGGCGGCACATGCCTGTAATCCCAGCACTGGGGAGGCTGAGACAGGAGGATCACGATGAGTCTGAGTTGAGTAGTGAGACCCTGTACCAAATATATATATATATA